CAACTAACTTTCACGTAAATCAAGATAACGTGCGTTACTGTCGACCTTCTGGTTACGGCAACTTGTCACGAGCCGTTCTAGAATGTGCGAGAGTAAGGAAGTCCACAGTTTACGTACGGTTCGCGGTAGGGTTGCCACCCGTATTCCAAAGTAGACTACAATACTCCATTTGAGAGACAATTTTTTTTATTATTATAAAAGGGTGATCAATCTAATTTAGATACAATCCACTTGACGTTATGTGGCCACCACGGGTAGGGAGCACCAATAGTTGGTGCACCTTATTATGTGCAATGACACTCCTGAATTCTATGGACTAAGATGGAATACGTAATAGCTGGTAATTATTCTATTTTCACGTGACAGAATAAGCGCGCTTAGAACACACTACTTCGAAAAAAATCTCACCGGCGATTTATAATAGGTTACTAGGTCTTTTTGACCAGTTTCCTAACCGCTTTTTACGACACCCAAGGCACAATGCACGGGGCGATAGATTTTCTTATGTCGCCATCACAAGGTAAGCCTATAAGATAAAACATGCACAGTAAATATATATATATATATATATATATATATATATATATATACATGGGAAACATATATAAACATGCAAACACGATATTCGTCCATAAGTTAAAGTGGCAACCCTATACGTAACGTTAAAAACGAGTCAGATGCATGGCGACAACATTCTTTGTTTAAACACTGACGAAATGCGTAGACAATTTTTTGCGTTAGCCATCTAAGTTCTAATCGCAAATAAAACTAACATCTGGTGGCGATTTGTGCTAATTTATGACCTTAATGCATATCTCTCAGACTCGTGGTGTCGCAGTCACTTTGAAGATAAGTCAAAGACATCTTAAAATTGAGTAGCGTTTGTATATTTGGCCATTACTGAAGTAGAAAACGGTGAATCGCTTCTGAAGGATCGCGAGATAACTACGCCAACTTTGAAAGACCTTTTCAAACAAGGTGCGTGAAGTTGCAAATAAGTACGGATGACATAATTTAAAATTAAAAATTTTGTACAACCGACTTCAATATAAATTATTAAGAATAACTCAAAATCTATTGGTCAGATATTGATCAAATTTATATGGGACCACACGAGAAGCACCAGCTTTCAAATAAAAAAAGAATCATCGAAATCGGTTCACCCAGAAAAAAGTTATGAGGTAACACACATAAAAAAACATACAGTCGAATTGAGTACCGTCTCCTTTTTGAAGTCGGCGGAAAAGGACACATACTCCATATTTGACGTTAAGTAAATGCTATACTCGATTAAGAATCGAAATGAAGATTATTGTCACCGTAGAGGATTATTATGATATGTCTCATAATTAATAAAAGTGTCAACGGTTCTGGTAATTCACCACATGAAATACGTTGCTCAAGTCAATATTAGTAACAGCATTCTAAATACATTTAAAATAAGTTTCGTCATACGACTTATTTATTTAATTTTTATAATATAGTATTAATAAAAATTTTGCCATACTATCGTTAATAGTTGCAAATTTATTATTTAAGAAGATTAATTAACAAAATTATTATAAATTAACGTTAAAATTAGCTTAATTAAAATGAAGAACTATTTTATTTAAATTGATTTTTATCACATAATACACAATTAAAACACTGTGAATATTTGAGAAAACATAAACAATGGTTTAGATTAGCCTCATTAGTAGGACATTGTCTTTTCATTGCATTTACAATAACATAGCTATAAAATGGCACTCGGACTTTGTACACGTTCTGTCACGTATATTTTAATAACTTTTTTGAGGATACTAAAACAAAAGGAAACACGAAATGTTTTCAGACGTACCGTGGTTACGCTACGTGAAAGCTGCATGTTATATAATGTATCATCGCTGCAGCATGAATTGTCATGTTCTCTTTAAGAAGACTTTTAGGAACCCTGCTTTTTTGTAAGTAGCATAATGCGGCTGTGTGTACACTGTATATGTAGTGGGCGACGACAACCACTGACTCTTCTTACCTGTAACGAAGTAATGCAAGGTGTAGGTGTAGTAGTGTATGACTCTAGTCTTCAGAGCACAGAGTATACGCGTCTGTAATTTCACTCTTAATCAAGTATAGACTACAGGTGTCTCTGAGCTATACAGCATTTACTAACCATTAAAAGTTTTACCGGTCAAAAATCACATTTTAGTTCTCGGAGCGGATAGCCAACGCATCTGCATGTTGACTCTTAATCAAGTATTGTGATGGGGCTTTGAGCTCAGCACAGCATTCACTAACCATCAAAAGACTATGTGCCCGTTTGTGACCCTGACTATAAAAACTTGCAACCCAGTCGTCATTAACCAAAGTATGAAATCAAGATTATTTAATTGTTAATACTTTAACGTAAGTAATTAAAGTCTCTCTTCAAAAACTTCTCCCTTAATTAGGCTTCAAATTGCATTCCTGTAAAGTGACGTCATTACAGCGGCCCGACGCAGCGTCAGAGCAATCTTTTTGTAGACGCTCCGCAGACGTTCAATAATGCCGAGGGAGAAATTGCAATTACGTCTACGTTCCGGTACGAGCTGGGAGATAAGGAAATTGTTGCAAGCTTTGCGTACACCAGAGGTTGAGGTATGCAATTATTTTTTTATAGAATAGAATAGAATATTTTTTATTTAGGTATCACAAATAATTTTTATTGAGACTTTTTATTTTATTTTACCGCTGGTTTGGAAAATACCTCTGGCTTGGGGAGAACTAGCAAGAAACCCGGCGGGACTTTAACCCAAGTAAAATTTAATAATAATATACAGGTTGTACAAACAACTTGCAAAAATTATTTACGAAACAGCTTGGAACCAACTACCTCATTGTAAAAATTGGTTTACTCAGTTGTAATAATTGGTACTTTAAAAGATGAACCTACAGACTCTTAAAGGTATTTGTGATGTAAATTTTTAGAAGAAGATTCGAGACTATGAAGCGAATTTGGAAAAGGTAAAAAAGTAAAGTAAAGTTGCAGCCTATTTACGTCCCACGGCTGGGCACAGGCCTCCTCCCATTTCTGAGAGAGTTTTAGGGCTAGGAAGTGTCCGCCGCGCTGCCCCAATGCGTGTTGGCGAACTCCACATGTCTTCGAAATATTTTATTTCTTCTTATTTGTCAAATATGCAGGTTTCCTCACGATGTATTCCTTCACCGCCAAGCACGCAGTAAATTAGCACCTAAAATAGCAATTAACAATTTCTTTGGCGCCGGCGGGGATCGAACCCGGGTGGCTCGAGTACTGTGAAGTTTACAGCGAGCGCTAACCATCTGAGCTACCACGGCCACTTTTTCCAGGTGTGAAATAATAATTAAAAATTTAAAAATTTTGTACAAGCGATCAATATAAATTATTAAGAATAACTCAAAAACTATTGGTCAGACGTTGATGACACGTATATGGGACCACATGAGAAGCACCTGCTTTTAAATAAAAAAAGAATCATCAAAATCGGTTCACCCAGAACAAGTTATGAGGTAACAATAACATACATAAAGTCGAATTGAGTACCTCCTCCTTTTTGAGGTCGGTAGAAAAGAAGCTACGACAAGCGATTAAAAATGTTTTAGTTGTACGTTAAGAAAGTACACAATAAAGGTAACAAAGCCTTGTTACACACATGCAATACCAAATCAAGAAATTAATAACACAAACAGCAGCCTCTAGATCGAAAGATAGCTGTTCTGAACCATTAAGGTTACCTCTCGTTGCCTAATAAGTAAAAAGCGAAGCAATTAACACGAGTTATCAAAGTCGGAATAAACAGAGCCACTCGCGAGCACTCGATACGAATCAACAAACTTGTACAAAGAGAAACTTCATTAACACATCATATTTATAGTGTTGCCTTACGATGCATTTCACTGCTGAGTGCCTTTGACAACTTCAACGACACATTCTTCTATTAATATGTCAATTTACATATTATTAACAAAATCTATACCAAGTTTTCCCTCTCAATCTAAATGAGATAATTGAAAACTACTTAAGTCTGTTCGGCGAGAGTTGATAATTTTTTTATAGAAAAAGGTGACAAATGAGCACAAAATTTACGTTATTATTACGAAAACGTCCCGCAATAGGATTGTCACAATCAACATTCTATATGATGAGCGTCGCTTATCATATAGAGAGACACAAGCACAGACTTGCAACTGTTATCAAGCGCAAGGCCGGCAGAGCAGACGAGGTAGCTTTATTATATATCAGTAAAAATAATTAGCAATGTTTAATAAGTTTAAGGACCCTGATTTTTTCAAGTCAGGCAATGAATTTTCGCCAAACAGACTACTTTTATGGATAATAAAGCGTTTATTTTATTTGTTTTTAACTATCGAGGATTCGAGTGCTTTGCGGCAACCATGGTAACGGGAGGGACTGAGATGCTTGAACGTCCCGATGTCATAATTGAATACGGTTTACAAAATATAAAAACAATTAAAAATAAACCAGATAAGAACTGTAAAAGTAGTTTTATTCAGAGATCAGTAAACATTGGATTATATTAAAATAGTATTTCCAGTATACGAAAGATTTTATACCTAAGTTTCTTTAATAGTTTTGCTAAAGTTTATTAAAATAAACTTTCTTATATTTAATTTTTCAGTTATAGAAAATTGATTTTCTTGCCTAATTTTGCCAAAGTTTGTTGAAGTTGATTGAAATAAAGTTAAGCAAAATTCTTTAAGAAAATTTATGTTCATAAGTCCTTGAAAAGTTTCTAAGTTCATAACAGCAGCCAAACATTTGTCAATCAAAGTTAAGGTTAGGTTGAAACGTTTTCGATCGACTTCTAAAGAAACAATAAAGAAATTCATAAGAAGAAGTCTAACAAACTTTTAAAATGTTTACAACCATTTCTATACTAACATACAAATTAATAATTTAACTAATAATTATATAATTACCTATATATGGCAAGGAAACCCCCGGATTCTGCATCGTGATTTAAACAAAAATCCATACATACCCAATGACACTTTAATATCTAGTATATCCGAATACCGTCTCCTCTCCTTGTCGCTCTCAGTGGACGTCTCCCTCTCACTCGATTCTCTAGTAGGCTTCAACAGCACCGCTTTCTTCCTCCTCAGCTTGCCCACCACTCCGTTCTCGACGGATTTCTCCGCCACAGGCTTCGGTTCCCTCTTGAACCACATCATCCCGACCATTAGTTCAATGATGCAGTTCAAGCGTCATTTGTTTGATTCACGCACAACACTACCGCCTGTCACTGTCACAACACGGACACTGATCCAAACAACAGTTTACAGCTGATCCAGTCTGTTAAGGTATTAAGATATAACTTTACATAATATAGTCCGATGGCACATAGTATTGAGGCTAATTTGTTCTTATTGTAGCACTCCGTAATATTACAACTCTGTTGCTGCCTCCTGTAAAATTAGGATTTCTATAAGTCGCTGTTGGCATCGACCATTATATTGCATTTGACGATACGGTTTATATTTAGTCGCATATTGTCGCCCTGTGTACACACTCTAATTATATAAGATACAGAAATAGTAAAATATGCGAATGTTTCTGACACGTATGTAACAATATAACTGAGAGTATTTTCTAAAAATATGCATTACTTACACCTGACCAAAATATAGATTAAGGAACCGTTGAATTTGTGCTCCAGTTAAAGAAATGTTTGGCACTAATAAAAAATAAAACCACGTTTAGAGGCGAAACATGTTAAAACATTATTAATCGACGGTAGTGTGTCTTCCCTAGAGTACTGGTTTTGGGTTTAGTGGTGACGAGGGTAAAACACGCAATTGAGGCGGGAGGGCGGGAGGTGTTCTTTAAGCTAGGTAAGGGTGCGTACAGATTAAGTAACATGTTGTATAACTTTTGTTTTATAACACGTCCACATTATGTAACATTGTTTTTCAACTTTGCATCTTATAACAATGTTATATGACATTGTCGTATGACATTGCCGTTTGTCGTTCTGCCGTTCGAGTCATATAACATTTGTGTCACGTTTTATAACATTCAGCCTCCACATTACTGAAACATGTATTAACATGTTATAATACATTATATAACAACGTATTATAACATGTTATGTTATATAATGTGTACGCACCGTAAGACACATAATTTTATTTTAACAGATCTTAACTATTTAATTTTTAACACCTTTATTATAATAGATTTCCGCAAAATAACGCCTGTTCTAATAATTATCTTAAAACCTCATCTTGCTACATCGTTCATCATGCGTACAGCAAAGGAGTGGAATAAGTTGTCAGCATCTGTGTTTCCATCCGAGTATAATGTGGGTGTTTTCAAGGCTAGAGTCAATGGGCTTTTGTTAAATCAGTGCGCTTCACCATCTTAGGCTACATCGCCACTTACCATCAGGTGCGATTGTAGTTAAGCGCTGGCTTAGAATAATATAAAAAAATGTATCTTAAAACCTCTTATACAAATGGTCCCAGAAGTGTAATGTGTATTGTATATACGAAAGATGATGAGCCGTGATAGATAAGGCTGCCTGCAGACTTTCTCATAAATTACAACCGTCTGACGAATAATTTTCGTCCGCAGAGACGTAAACTGCAAACGCATTCTGAGCAACGGGAAACTGAAACGCACCTGCGCCAAGGAAACAACGCAATTAACACCGTTTTAATTGAGGCCTTTAAGTGCCTTTTGTACCCTTCCTGAGCGGAGCAACCCGTTCCTTTATTTTACTATTACAAGCCAGTTCTTGACTACTATACCACCTGATGGTAAGTGGTGGTGCAGCCCAAGAAGTTACAGCGCACTGAGTTTGCTTAATTAAAATAAAATGTAAAGAAAATGAATGTTTTTCACCAATGAAATAGTGCATTGCGATTGAGGGATGATAAAAAACATGTGCAGGAAACCAGTATGTGTGAGATAGTGAAAATACATTGCGGCATAGCAGCCAGTTTCTGAGACCGTTTTTACTGGGGACGAGGCATACCATCTTAGTCCTCACGGGTGATAACGCATCTGTATTTTAATTCCTAATCGAGGATAGATATAGATGTCTATGACTGACGGTAACCGCTTACCATCAGATGGACTGTGTGCTCGTGTGTCACCATTATTCTTTAAAAAAAAGTTCTTCTCTGCATCAAAACTCATACCCGTATATTAAACGAGGGCTATGAGCAGCTACGAGATGAAATGTAAAATATATCTTGTACGTAAAGCAAAGATTTCACATTATAACAAATAGTTTACAAAAACTATCTTCATTTGTATAATATTTCTAGGATTTTAAACGCATTTGGGTAGGAAGTTGTAGCACGAATGGGTCGGCTCGAATGGGGAAAGACCACGCTCTCATAGAAAACCAGTAAATAACAGCTTAACGCTGCTGTGTTTCGTATGGTGAGTGTAGAGAACCGGAGACCCTATTTACTGGCAAAAAGGCATTCCATCTTAGTCCTCACGGGTGACAACGCATCTGCATCTTGAGTCTTTATTGAGGATAGATGTAGATGTCTATGGGTCACAGTAACCACTTACCATCAGGTGGACTGTGTGCACGTTTGTCACCCAATCCTATAAAAAAAAAGGAAAAGCTCCGTAGTTCCATTTTTACTTATGCGCAAACCTAGTTATCTTATCTTTTTGTCCGCTCCGCTCGGGAAAATGAAATAAGCAGAATAAATAATAATGCCGAAGACATTGCAAAAATGTCGAATCGGACTTTACTTGTGGACGACATCATATAGTAAGTAGGAGTCTTAATCAAGTATTGTTCATATTATCTACTTTTTTTTAAATACTAGTGATGCTATTAAACATTACTAATATTCCCTTTAACCACTTCTGGTAAGCTGAAAATGCTTGTGTTAGAAGTGGTTCACGACAGTAGTCGAATGGCGGATTCAAATCCACGACCTTTCGAGTTCACGGTCCGCGCCCTACCATTAGGCTACTGACGCTTCTAAATCTACGTCATATGTCTACGATTAGTGACTTAATTTGGCAACTTTTTACTTGTTTTGCTCCATAGATTAACATATTTCCTATTTGATTTAATGGCTAACTGCACTTTTTTGGTCTTGCCTTATATTATTAATATAAACCAAATTGTTGAAGAGAATACACATTTTTTATTTTATTATCATCGCCTTGCCTACGTCTTGCCAAACTTGTAAAGTAAAATAAACGGTTATTTCTTTTGATTAAAAACAAAATAGCAAATGTTGTCAGGGAAGAAATTGTATCCCGTTTTAAAACAAAGGAAATCTCTGTTCCTATCACATCTGATAAAATAACCCGTCACTCACAGTCGCGGTCAAAAACAAATTGAGCAGTCGTCTCGCACAGCCGACGGAGGTCGGGACGTGAGAGACACACGTTTTCCGCAAAACAACCAGTGATCGTGTGACACGGAGATGAATTAAGATGTTTTGATTGCATCAAAAATTTCGTGTCCTTGCGTTGGACATTGACTTGGTCTAAGAGAGAAACTATGAGTGTGATTTTAAAAATATTTTTATAGCTTAGTCTAATATCAAAGGGCGGATTCGGTCAAACTTGTATAAGGTCGAATAAAATCTTAAACCTTAAATAATATATTAAACTTAAACCTAATAAAATCAATAATTACTAAAGAATTAGAGAACTTTTACGTTAAAAAATGTACAACTGTCAAAAAAAATTCATGAAGTAAACTAGTTATCAGATAGATTACTTTAGTCGCGGCCGCTATATTATAACCAATTTTAACAGCTGTTTCGTACGCTTTGTACAAAATTTTGCTTTTTTTTTAATAATTTTTGTGATAATTATAGGAATACCCTGTATTGGCTACTTAACGTTTGTGACGAATGTGCAACGGAGCGCGGCGCCCGGTATGCATGACATATAAACCCTATATCGCAGTGTTCTGCTGAGCAGTCTCTCAAAATTAATACAAAACGTACCGTGTTTTGTACATGCCATGCATCCCGCCTGAAACATTTTGGGACACGAACTATGTAGGCAATATTCTTGATCAGACTACGGTCTAAGCATATTCTAAAGCCGCAAATGATCGAACCTTCTCGCCCCTCCTCCTCAGTCACTTAGTCATCATCAGTCAGTATCATATAATGGTGTATTGATAAGTTATTTATAAGACCAAGCTTTCAGTTCCGCTATATTTTCAATCACTCGATGTATTTAAGTAGTACTATTATTTATTTTGTGGCATTGGCATGACTAGAAGCTCAGATATACGATCGGCCTGTCGCCCCGGTTCTCGAACAACTGAATGGGACAGACCTGTCAAGGTTCACACGAACTTTTTACATCGCGTGAACAAAATACTGGAGGATATGAACTTGTGAAGATTAGCCTTCCTTAATAGCTACCCGAATGTCCCTGAAGGGGGGAACTTTTTGGAGAGTATGTATTATTGTAAGTCTATTTTCTTTCGTTCGTAACCTAAACAGTTTGATGGATTTTAATATAATATGGGGCGCAGTTAGATTCCTAGTTGTGATTTATCCAATGATAAACAGCTAAAGTTTATGTACCTATAATAGTATGAAGCAAAAATATTCGACCCGAAAACCTCATCGAGATAATTAACAAGGCGCGGTAGTTATAAATTAGACGTGACTGACCTAATTCACACAGGTACAAAGTCAATGGTTTCTGACATCGTCCAAGACAGTGTACGTGATAGAACCACGCTGCAGATACATTGCGAGGGGAGGTCAAAACGTTCGCAGAATGACTGCGTTGGCGAAGGTGAGTTTACTCATCCAGGTAGGCGCTAGTTGAGGGACTGTTATTTTAAAAAAAAGTTCTGCTGGGTCACTTGGTCAAATTTTCCGAACCAGAAGTAAACTAAACATGATTAATTTAGTTAAAGCTATGTGCTATATGAATGACTTTCAATAAGTATTATTTATAATCAATGTTGAATAAAAATATTTCTATTTCTTATTTAGGTAAGCCTCTAGCGTTAAGTGCATGTCTGGTAATATACACTGTCCTCTCGGCAATGGTAGTCCAGCTCCAGCATGGGATGCGTACAGCGGTAGGAAATTATGTAATAGACGTGTGAATTGTAAACGATTCGGTCGTATTCAACTTTAATATAATGGACTTCCGCAAAGTAACGGCTGATTCTATTAATTATGGTGAACATAAGCCTCCCACATAAATTGCCTCATAGAGG